AGGTTATTTATTTCTTCTAAGGCCTCATTTCAATGCCTAGGGAGGGGGAGCAGAGAGGGGAAAAAAGTCAGATATAACTCTGCGGGAAGGTTTGCTAAAACAGCCCTCTGAGGTCAGTAATATATATATGTATGTATAAGACTTTGAGATAAGTCATATATTGCCACTAATGCAGTTTATTTATTGTACTTTGTCTATTCGAGCAAGAAAGTTGTAATCTTAGTCTCAGGCCCCTTCCACACAGTTGAATAAAATCCCACATTATCTGCTTTGAACCGGGATATATGGCAGTGTGGACTCAGATAACCCAGTTCAAAGCAGATATTGTGGGATTTTCTGGTTATATAGCTGTGTGGAGGGGCCCTCAGTCTCCAGGCCAAATAGAGTTTGGTGCTTTCAAAGATATGTTTGAGGGAAGGAGGCTAGTATACTTCCTCCTTTTGCCCTGATCTCTTTTTTGCCAGGACGTTATTTCAACGCCATGATGGCTGCTCTTCCAAAAAATAAAAAAGCCAACCCACACACCCTTCGAGAAGAGGGAGGGTTGGAAAGCACCACACACAAAAAAGACCCATTTGAAATGACAGCCTCGAGTGCTCCGTTTTGGGCTCTGCGGGTGCTAATTTTAGCCGGGAGGGATAAAAGAGAGGGGAAAAAATAGACCCAGCGAAAGGGAACAGCTGGAAACGTTTCCTTCTCTCTTGACCGAAGCTTTTCACTTTCTCTCCTCCCCTTCTGCGAACAGGACGCAGGGATGCGCATTGGTGCAAAATCTCTTGCCTCTCTGGCTGGAGCCACACTGCCATATAATCCAGTTTGGACTACAGCACATGGTCACCGTAGAGCCAGATAATGCAGTTCAATGCAATTCAACTCGCATTATATGGCAGCCTCTGTTGAAACATATGGCAACTTCCCATTGGAAAACTAGAGCTTATTATTATTATTATTATTATTATTATTATTATTATTATTATTATTATATCATTGTGTGCATACTTCTTCCCCCTTTCCTGGCTTCCTGACTCCCTCCAGCTGGAGGTGTGTAATAATTATTATTATGAAAAATATTATTTTGTTTCGGGTCAGAAGCTACTTGAGAACCTGCAAGTCCTCTGGTGTGAGAGAATTGGCCTTCTTCAGGGACGTTACCCAGGAGCGACTTGAGAAACTGCAAGTCCTCTCTGGTGTGAGAGAATTGGCCTTCTGTTGCCCAGAAGCGACTAGAGAAACTGCAAGTCGTCTCTGGTGTGGGAGAATTGGCCTTCTGCAGGAAGGTTGCCCAGAAGCGACTTGAGAAACTGCAAGTCACCTCTAGTGTGAGAGAATTGGTCTTCTCTAGGGACGTTGCCCAGAAACTGCAAGTCACCTCTACTGTAGGGACGTTGCCCAGAAACTGCAAGTCACCTCTGGTGTGAGAGAATTGGCCTTCTCTAGGGACGTTACCCAGAAGCGACTTGAGAAACTGCAAGCTGCCTCTGATATGAGAGAATTGGCCTTCTGTAGGAACAAGGGATGTGTTACCATCCTATGGGAGGCTTATCTCATGTCCCCACATGGGAAGCTGGAGCTGACAGAGGAGAGCGCACCACAGTTTCAAGATTCGAACAGCTGACCTTCAGGTCAGCAGTTCAGCCACACATTGCTTCACCTAGGCTCCCGATGATGATGATGATGATGATGATGATGGTGATGATAACAACAACAACAACAACAACTCCCCTGTGGACTGAGGCCCTTTCTTCTAGCTACCCGACACTGTCTTTCCAGCCCAACCCTATGTACATCTACACTTAATGCGGATTGAAGACATTTCCAAGAGGAAGCTTGACTTACTCTCGAATTTTGCTCATTCTGATAGGAGGCCTTCAATAAGGATAAGCAACATGGAGGGATACTCCAAAAGAGGGCCAGGCCCTGGAACTGAGCGTACATCTACACAGCGGAGTTAATGCAATTTGACACCACAATTAAATTATATTACTCGAGGCTATGGAATCGCGGAAGTTGTAGTTTGACAACAGAAAAGTCTTTAGCCTTCTCTGCCAGCATGTGTACCAAAGTGCAACTCCTGTGATTCTACAGCATTGAGCCATGGCTGTTAAAGTGATGTCAAACTGCATTAATTTCACAGTGTAGATGCACATTGGGTTGGCGCCTACCTCCACCATGTGTTTAAGCACTGCCCAGGCTCCGCACGGTTCCAGGTGCAGCTTCTATTGGTGGCTTCTGCCTTTGCCGCTTCCCTTCCGCATTATTCAGTCAGTGTAGATAGATGGGCCCTCTGTCGCTTTGATTTCGGGAGTTGAAGCGAGCAAACTTGATAGGGAAAGGCCAAAACCGGAAATGATTAGTGCGGGTTAAGATTATCCAACAGGCCCAGCCAGACTTTTAGAAATGTAAAAAAAAAAACCCAACCATAATAATAATAATAATAATAATAATAATAATAATAATAATACATCACACAGTCCTAGACGCTTGGGAAGTGTTCAATTTCTGATTTTTGATACGAAATCCAGCATATAGATCTCGTTTTTTGTAACATACTGTGGTTTTGTGTCAGTAAAATAATAATAATAATAATAATAATAATAATAATAATAATAATAATAATAATAATAATAATAATAATGCTTTTGTTGCACATGGTCTGGAAAAGTGCAGACTGTCTCATTATAATGCAAACAACCCACGGTTAAGGGGAAGGGGCAGTCAGTTACCCTTCCAGGAACAGTTACCCCTCCAAATAAGAATGTTGCCCCTATTAAATATCCCCATAGCCTTACTATTTCTAGCATTGCAGTAATTTAGAATTTAGGAATACATTGAGCGAATAGAAACACAGAGGGAAAAGGCGAACATAGAAAATTATATTCTAGAGGCAAACTATTTTCAGCTTCTATTTGCAAAATTAGAAATTTGGAAAGTGTAGCAATATTTCCTTGGGAAGGAAGAATCTTTTTTTTTTTTTTTTGGAGGGCCAAGCCTTCGTTTGCTTCCAACCCCATAGTTAAAGCCCTGGGGCAAGCCGGCCTTCATTCAATCCAGTCCTACCAAGAGAAAAACTGTTTGGGTTGTTGTGAATTTTCCGGGCTGTGTGGCCATGTTCCAGAAGCATTCTCTCCTGACGTTTCGCAGGCGAAACGTCAGGAGAGAATGCTTCTGGAACATGGCTATACAGCCCGGAAAATTCACAACAACCCAGTGATCCCGACCATAAAAACCTTTGACAATACTTTAAAAAACTTTTTAATTTTTCTTCCTCCCTTAAACAGTTAACCTTAAATCCAAAGGTGCTGATCTTTGAGAAAGAAAAAAATATATATTTGCTCCTTGGCTTGCTATGTGGGCGTCCCATTTAGTGCCCGAAAGCAAGAAAAAGCGACTCAAAGACTCCAAATTTGCCGAGATTTCTCCCTGAAGCACCAGTGAATTTTCTAAGAGATCCAACCAAGGTCGAGGGAGGGAAGGAAGAAAAAAGGGAGGGAGGGTGACATTCAGATCAATAGATTCCCTGACTGTCTTGTGAAATTCACGCAAACTACACAGGCACAATTCGCTCACAATAAACTATCCTTTTATTTTGGTTATAAAGAAGATGCTTGGAATTCCCTTAAAATACAATTACATAGGAAAATCTTTGTAGAAATGGTGGGTTTTTGGTTTTTGTTGTTGTTGTTTACAAGTTAATAAAGTTGGACATTGTTTACAAGGATTTGCCTCCTACCCCTATAACCAAGGTTGGATCTACACTTCCATATAATGCATTATATTCCATATAATGCATGGGCAAACTTGAGCCTTCCTTCCAGGTATTTTGGACTTCAACTCCCACCATTCCTAACAGCCTCAGGCTGTCAGTAATAAGCGGCTGAGGGGGAAAAGGAAAGGGCCTGAGACTGTTAGGAATGGTGGAAGCTGAAGTCCAAAACAATTGGAGGGAAAGCCCAGGTTTGCCCATGCCTGGTGTAGACTGAGACTCATGTCATACAATATGCATTATAAGAATATACGAACTTGCATTATAAGAATATACTAAATTGCTCCATTCGGGACCGTTTCCCCGTAAAGTGAGCCCGAAATGACTGCCCCACGTCGATTTCCGCGTGGGTTTTGCGTGGGGAAGGAAAGACCGGTGGAATGACCAAAAAAAGCACTAAGAAATACCTGTGATCTTTATAATTTATTAGAGAAGCTTTTTAGGAAGTATATTGAAAGCCAAATATATCTACAAGGAAGAGAAAGAAAGAAAAAAGAAAGAAGGAAGGAAGGAAAGGAAGAAAGTGAGGAAAGGTGCGCCCAAGAAAGACCAAACTTGGCGAGGGATTTCACGGATCTGTGGACATCCATTGAAAAAGTGGAATTTTTGTTTTTGTTTTCTTGCTTTCTTTTTTTCTAAAAAAAGTTTTTGATTGGTTTGGTAGTTCAGTCGCTTGATATAGATATATATCATATGTATTTAATCAACAAAATAGTCAGGAATACTAAAAACTATGAGTGTAGTCCAACCTTCTTTTTTTTTTTTTTTTTGACAGCATTTATACAGCTACAGCTTCACATCGAACATAACTTGGGAGGAGGGAAGAAAAAGAAGGGAATGCTCTGCCGTGGGAGTCTCAGTGTCTCTCCATCCAGTGTTTGGGGGGGGGGGGTTCTTGGGGAGGGGGTGTTCCTCGTGTGCGTGTGTGGGTCGGAAGGGTGGGAAGGATGCTAACTCGTGGGGTAAAGGAACAAACACCCACCCCTCGCCCCAACGTGGGACTTTTTTGTTTGAAAATCTGTACATACAAGCGTCCAGCGGGGTTCCACGCCGCGCGTGGGTTCTCCACGGGTTCCTCTCTCGAAGGTGATGAGGCGGAGGGTCTTCTCCAGGTGGGAAGTCTCGTTATTTGTCTCTGAAAGTCCTTCCTGCCCTCTCCCACGCCAAAATAAACAAAGAATATACATGTCAAAGCGGGAGAGAGGCAAAGAAGAGTCTCCCCGCGGAAGGTGTGCGCGTGTGTGTGTGTGTTTGGCGTGGGTCCCGGGTCTGCCTTGCGTCTCCTCACCAGGTCCTGCCATATAGCAAGGTGGAGCAGGACATGGCCGTCCCGTAGTCCGAGCCGGAGGAGTTCAGGTGGGAGAGAGCGGAGACCTGGCTCTGGAGGGAGGAAGGGCTGCTCCCCGCGTGTTGCCCCAAGTCGGGCGACTGGCCCGCGCTGCTGGCTTGGTGGCTCTGATGCTGTCCCAGGCCGGAGCCGTTGGAGGCCACGGTGATGGCGGTGGCCGCCTGTTGCTGCTGCTGGGGGTGCTGGGAGTGCTGGTGGTGGTGCTGGTGGGCCTGGAGCCCCGCGTTGGAGGGCGCGTTGGAGCCGGCTTGGCAGGGCTTGCCGTCCTTGACCAGGACGGGCACGGCCACCCGGCGGGGCGACTGCTGCTGCTGGCCCTGCTGCTGGCTCTGCTGCTGCTGCTGGCAGGCGGCGGCCTCCTGCTGCTGCATCTGCTGCTGGGCCGCCTTGTCCTTGGCCTGCCGCTTCATCTTGTAGCGGTGGTTCTGGAACCAGATCTTGACCTGGGTGGGCGTCAGGTGGATCATGCTGGCCAGGTGCTCGCGCTCCGGCGCCGAGAGGTACTTCTGCTGCTTGAAGCGCCGCTCCAGCTCGTAGACCTGGGCCTGCGAGAAGAGGACGCGGCGCTTGCGGCGGGGGGTGCTCTGGAGAGGGGCCCCCATGCTCTTGCCCATCTCGCCCAGCGAGCTCAGGCCGCCCATGCCGCCCATGTTCATCCCCGACGAGGGGCCCATGAAGCGCGAGACTGCAAAGCCAGAACAGCGGGGGAGAGAGCGGTTAGGCACCCAGAGGCAGACAGTCAAAAAACATTTCCTCTAGGGTTGGAGTTAGCACAAGATCAGGGCTAGAGTAAGGGTTTAGGGGTTGGGTAGGATTAGAGTTAGGGTTAGAGTTGAGGCATGGTTCAGGGTTAGGGGTTAGAGATCGGGTAAAAGGAGGGCCAGGGTAAGATTAGAGTAAGATGGGTGTTAGTATTAGAGTTAGGTAATAGCATAATAATAATAATAATAATAATAATAATAATAATAATAATAATAATAATAATGGGTTGATGTAGTCTTTTCGGGCTATATGGCCATGTTCTAGAAGCATTCTCTCCTGACGTTTCGCCTGTATCTGTGGCAGAGGTTGTGAGGCCATGAAAGCCTTCGACGATAATAATAATAATAATAATAATAATAATAATAACTGTGTTTTGTGCCAGTAAAATAATGATGATGATGATTATGATGTTGATGATGATGATAATGGGTTGTTGTAGGCTTTTCGGGCTATATGGCCATGTTCTAGAAGCATTCTCTCCTGACGTTTCTGCTGCATCTGTGGCAAGCATCCTCAGAAGTTGTGTTGAAAGCCTTCGACAATAATAATAATAATAATAATAATAACAACTGTGTTTTGTGTCAGTAAAATAATAATAATAATAATGGGTTGTTGTAGGTTTTACGGGCTATATGGCCATATTCTGGAAGCATTCTCTCCTGATGTTTCGCCTGCATCTGTGGCAAGCATCCTCAGAGGTTGTGAGGCCATGAAAGCCTTCAACAACAACTATAATGTGTTTTGTGTCATAATAATAATAATAATAATAATAATAATAATAATAATAATAATAATGCATTGTCGAAGGCTTTCATGGCCGGAATCACTGAGTTGTTGTAAGTTTTCCAGGCTGTTCCAGAAGCATTCTCTCCTGAAGTTTTGCTTGCATCTATGGCAGGAAAGCTCTGAGGATACCTGCCATAGATACAGGCGAAATATCAGGAGAATGCTTCTGGAGCATGGCCATACAGCCCGGAAAACTTACAACAACCCAATAATAATAATAATAATAATAATAATAATAATAATAATAATAATAATAATAATGGCTTTGTGTCAATAATAATAATAATAATAATAAATGATCCATCGGAACTTGTGCCAGAAATACCATCTGTCTGCGACAAAGAACTGAAAGCCTAAAAAAGTTACTGAAAACGAACAAGTCAAACTACTGACAGAGTTTTGGAACACATGACCTCATTATTGTGATCGGCACATTAGGTGCAGTGCCGAACGACCTTGGCCTGCACTTAAAAAGAATTGGCGGTGACAAAATTACCACCTGTCAGCTGTAAAAGGCCACCTTACTTGGATCTGCAGTCAATATTTGCAGGCAGGTGTAATCAAATACAAAAGTCAGCATAGTGATCTTGTTTGTTGTGTACTAATCTTGTTATGCATCTAATTAATAATAATAATAATAATAATAATAATAATAATAATAATAATATATTTATAGGCCGCCCTTTGATCAAATACAAAAGCCAGCATAGTGATCTTGTTTGCTGTATACTAATCTTGTTATGTATATAATAATAATAATAATAATAATAATAATAATAATAATAATAATTTTATTTATAGGCCGCCCTATCTCCCCAGGGGGACTCAGGGTAGCTTCCAGGCAAAAAGGCAAACATTTAATGCCTTGGTGACAAACACATAAATAAAAAACAGTGCAAGGGAACATCATTATAAACTCATAAATTCCTAAACAAGAAAATAAAATTAATCATTTAATAAGCATAATAATTATCTAAACAAATACATATAAATGATTTTATTATACTTCCTCTAGGGTTAGAGTTAGGGTAGGTATCACCTTTTAAAGGTATCAGTATTTTTTATTACTATAAATATTTCTTTTAGGGTTAGAGTTAGGGTTAGATATAGCCTAAGATTAGGGTTAGAATTAGAGTACGATTAAGGTAAAGTTAGGGTTAGGGTAACAGATTAATATTAGTGTTATAGGGTGGGTTTTGGATACAGTGAGGATGATGGTCAGAAGGCCCAACTCTTTCCAGGGGGACTCGAAGCTGGAATCCAGATTGCTGGATTTTTATTTAAGTGGAAACAAGAGGAAACAAGTGTAATCTTCCCGCCAGTTTCTCCCCGCTTTTTTCACAAACACCAAGGGCCCTTCCACCCAGTTGTATAACCCAGAATATCAAGGCAGAAAAATCCAACAATACCTGCTTTGAACTGGATTATCTGAGTCCACACTACAATAATAATAATAATAATAATAATAATAATAATAATAATAATAACTTTATTTATATACCGCCCTATCTCCCCTAGGGGACTCAGAGCGGTTTCCACATATGCAAAATAATACAAAAACATACAATATAAAACAAAAACATAGGCATATTCCCATTCAAAGCAGAAAATGTGGGATTTATTCAGTTGTGTGGAAGGATTAGCCTAAAACCGCTCAGATAAAAATACTTCTCAAAATCTCACAAGAGTCACAAAAATACGTCGAAAAATCAGAGAAAATATTACACCTTTTCTAAACCGGATTTCAACAATGGGAGATTGTTTAGGGAAGTTCGGATCCGTCAGTTCGAAGGGTTTTGTTCTCTCCGCCATTCCCAGGGCCTCCAACAAAATTTCCAGTCAAAAATGAAAATTAGCGAGGAGGAAGATCCGAGTTAAGAAAGTAAACTATTTTTTTCTGACTTAAGTATTGCACCCTTCCCTATTAACGTGCACACATCCATGCATGTGGAAGCATTGAAGAATCAAAAACTAAACTCTGAGAACAATATTTCTCCCCGTCAAAGTAATACATGTCTTTATCTCCTCGCTTTGGTTTATAACATTTTAAATATATATGCCCCCCTTTTCCCCTGTTAGTATTTCTGCACAACATATTCCAAAAATTGATTACTTCCTAGTGGAGGAAATTGGGGTGAGAGGCCCACATTATGTTACTCCTGTCCAAATATAATTTTCGAAAATGAGTCAACCAAGCACCCAGATGGTGTGGATTAAACACGCTGTATATCAGCCACGGGAAAACTTCAGCCCTCCAAGGTGTATTGGACTACAACTCCCACCATTCCTAACAGCCTCAGGCTGTTAAGAATGGTGGGAGTTGTAGTCCAATACACCTTGGAGGGCTGAAGTTTTCCCGTGGTTGCTCAATATAGTTTTGAGGCCTCCCCACAAAACTATTGCTTTTGGAACAATTTCTTTGCTTTCTCAACAAATGTTGGGAGAGCAAAGAAATTCCACGAGTGGGTCTCAAATTTCACGCGTGGGTCTCAAGAAATTCCACGCGTGGGATATCCTCAAAACTCGGGCCCACGCGCAATTTCTTCAGCTTCGTTTTTGATGATGGCCCCTCCTCAGGGACTTATCCAAAATGACAAATCTTCTCCTCAGTTTCTCCCAAGGTCCCCGGAACGTGGTTGCCCTATTGACCATCAGGAGACCTTTCTGTCCTTTGGTAGAAGCCAAGGCCGCTTCTTGGAATGGAATGAAATAACACCAAAGCAAAAATAAAATAAAAAAAAAATAAATAAAAAGGGGGGGGGGAGGAAAGGAAACAAAAAGGCCTCACAACCTTCTGGGGATGCCTGCCATAGATGCAGGCAAAACGTCAGGAGAGAATGCTTCTGGAACATGACCATACAGCCTGGAAAAATCACAATAACCCAGTGATTTCGGCCATGAAAGCCATCGAAAATACATTGAGACAAAAATGGAAAAAGAGTGTGTGTGTGTGTGTGGAGGGGGGGGGAGGTCTAGACCAACTTCATGTACCTCCTGGTTGTCCTACTGACCCCCAGGGCAGCCCATCCCGCCCTTTGGCCAAAGCTAAACGGAACCAAAGTCCGACAAAAGGTTAATAATATTAGGTTCTTGTGGGTTTTTTCGGGCTATAGGGCCATGTTCTAGAGGCATTTCTCCTGACGTTTCGCCTGCATCTATGGCAAGCATCCTCAGAGGTAGTGAGGTCTGTTGGAATAGTAATATTGCTTCTTGGTAACAAATGAAAATCACGCAAAAAAAAAAAAAAAAAAGCTGGGAAAGCGAAAAAGGAGAAAGAGGAAATGTGTATGTGATTCACCTCAACTTCATACAACCTCATGGTTGTCCTACTGACCATTCTGCCCTTTAGCCAGAGCCAGAACAAAGCAGACTACTCAACCACCGTTTCTTGGAAAGGGAGGAAAATAACACCAAAGGGAAAGGGAGAAGAGAAGGGAGAATGGTGTGTGAGAGAGTGGGGTGTGTGTGTGTGTGTGTGTGTGGGGGGGGGGTCCAGATCAACTTCGTGCACCCTCCTGGCTGAAGGACAATCGGGGCTGCCCATCTCGTCCTTTGGCCAAAGCCGGGACTGAGTCCAAGTGTCCACTAAAAGAAAGGCGGCAACATTTTTGGAAAGAGTGGAAATAACACTAAAGAAAGAAGAGGAGAAGGGGAAAAGGGGGGGGGGGAAGGGGCATATCAACTTCAACTTGTCCGATTGATAACCATATTTGATTGTTTTGGTATACTCATGAGGGTTTTTTTGTGTGTGTCGCCCCGACTTGAGAAACTGCAAGCCGCTTTTGGTGTGAGAGAATTGGCCGTCTACAAGGATGTTGCCCAGGGGATGCCAAATGTTTGATATTTTTCCATCCTTGTGGGAGGCTTCTCTCATGTCCCCTTATGGGAAGCTACAAAGTGTGGAGAAGAGCAAGCCACAGACCACCTATTACAATGCAGTCTGAGCCCTGCAACATGCACAATGGAGGACCTTCTTATAGTGACACCAGAGGCACTCCCAAGTGGGCAGCTACTGCTCAAAGGACATTTAGTATTGCACTAAGTTTTAAAACTTAGTGCATTTTAAATATACTACAACTGTACCCTCGGTTCGCTTCTGATATGATAAATAAATAAATAATGGGAAGCTGGAGGTGTCAGACGGGAGCTCACCCCCGCTCCCCGGATCGGAACAGCCGACCTTTTGGTCAGCAGTCCTGCTGGCACAGGGGTTTAACCCAGTGCTCCACCAGGGGCTCCTACTCAGGAGTTGAGGTCCTATCTTTTTTATTTTGGACACTTGGATGTTTGATGTGTTATCATCCTGTGGGAGGCTTCTCTCCTGTCCCCGCATGGGGAGCTGGAGCTGACAGATGGGAGCTCACCACCACTCCCCAGATTGGAACAGCCAGCCTTTGGGTCAGCAGTTTTGCCAGCACAAGGGTTTAGCCCATTGGGCCATCAGGGGCTTCTACTCAGGAGTTAAGGTCTTGTCTCTTTTGTTGGAGGCCTGGATGTTTGATCTGTTACCATCCTGTGGGAGGCTTCTCTCATGTCCCTGCATGGGAGTCTGGAGCTGACCGGATTGGAACAGCCGACCTTTAGGTCAGCAGTTCTGCTAGCACAAGGGTTTAACCCATTTGATGTGTTACCATCCTGTAGGAGGCTTCTCTCCTGTCCCCTCATGTGGAGCTGGAGCTGACAGATGGGAGCTCACCCCCACTCCCCGGATTGTAACAGCCGACTTTTGGGTCAGCAATCCTACCAGCACAAAGGTGTAACCCACTTGATGTTTACCCATCCTGCGGGAGGCTTCTCTCCTGTCCCCTCATGGAGGAGCTGGAGCTGACAGACGGGAGCTCCCCCCGCTCTCCCCGGATTGGAACAGCCGACCTGGGCACAAGGGTTTAACCCATTGCGCCACCAGGGGCTCCTACTCAGGAGCTGAGGTCTTGCCTTTTTTTGTGGGGTGCCTGGATGTTTGATGCACGGGGAGCTGGAGCTGAAGGACGGGAGCTCACCCCTCTCCCCGGATTGGGACAGCAGACCTTTCGGTCAGCAGTCCTGCCAGCACAAGGGTTTAACCCATTGAGCCACCAGCGGCTCCTACTAAGGAGATGAGGTCTTGCCTTTTTTGTTGGATTTTTTGTTGGCTTTGTAAGGCTGTCCAACAAAGTCCTTTGGCCAAAGGAGTTCAGTCAGTAGCCGCTCCATGGAAAGGAGTGACAATAAGGGGGGAGAAGAGAGGGGAAGGGAGAAGGTCCAGATCCACTTCTAGTGGTGGCCAATATTCCCCGCTTCAGGCAGGCTCCGGAGGGGGCAACAGGGGAGGTCAAGGCATGGCAAGGCATGGCAAGGGAGGTCCCCCCGCCCCCACTCCCTGAAGGACCCCCGAAGGGACTTACTGGTGGAGAAGCGGGGGTCGGGGTTGGCCCCGTACCAGCCGGGGCCGGCGGCGGCGGCGCCGTTGCGCATGGAGTCCTGGTAGGGCGGCAGGTCGCCCATGTTCCCGTTGCAGTAGCCCCCCATGGCGGCGGCGGCTGCGGCGGCGGCGGCGGAGTGGGGCAGCTGGGGCACCCCGGCGGCGGCGGCGGCCGTCATGTGGTAGGCGGCGGCGGCCGCGGCGGCGGCGGAGACGGAGGAGGTCCCGTTGTGGCCCCCCATGGGGTGCTGCTGCATGCCCGGCTGGCCCACCTGCGAGGGCCGGTACGCCCCCAGGTTGCTGCCCTCCATGGCCACCTTCTTGTAGCTCTCCTCCAAGGGGCTCAGGATGTCAGACACTGAGAAAGGAGTCGTATGTTTGGGGCTCATCGACATGATGCGGCGGCTGGGGGGAAAGAGGAGGGAGAAAAAGGGAAAGGGGAGGCAAAACTCTCTCTCTCTCTCTCTCTCTCCCCACTCTCTCTCTCTCTCCTAGGTTTTTTTTTTTTTTTGGGTGCCAAATATTCTGGTGGGTTGCCTCCACGCCGATCCCGTTGGATGGAGACGTAAGCGAGTGGCCCAAGTCCGCCTTAATTGGGTGAAGTGGCGGCTCGGCGCTGCCTTGGGTTTGTTTTAGCCCGGCGCCAGGTTTTAGGCGGCCACCAGAGGCGGGGCGTCGGCGCTAAAGCAACAAGACAATAGAAGCCCGCATCTGGCCCCCGATCATTAGCCTACATGCTGATGAGGAGGAGGAGGAGGATGGCAAGGTAAACACCTTCTCCCCGGCGCTGCCTTTTTATTTCCTCCCCCTTCCAAAAATTAAAGTTACACTTCTTTCTTGGCCTTCCCCCCCTCCCGCCTCCTTCCTCCTTCTATTCCGGATTAGAAAGGTACAAAATGGGAAATCCCTTGTCAATGCCTTCCCTCCATCCCATCCACAATAAGTCCATTTTGGATGTGTTTTGTTCAGGTTGGGAAAGAAAGAAAGAAAGAGGTGCAAAGAAAGTTGGGAAAGGGATTATTTCTCCTTTACAGCCTCCCCCCCCCCCCCACACACACACCCAGACAAACCGATTCGAAGGAGAGGTGCCTCTTCCAATTCTCTCTCCCCCCACACACACACTCACACAAGCCCCCCCCCCCCGCTCCACACACAACACACACTCATCCGCCCACCGCCCGTCCTCTTCCTCCTACCTCAGTCTGAACGAGGAAGGTCAGGAATGAAGAAATGGATTGGTGGTAGTGTGTGTTGGGGGGGGGGCGCCCTCTCCCTTCCCCTCCCTTCCCTTCCCCTCCCTCCCCCGCCCACACTTTCCCCCCCCCCGCCTCCCTCCTTTCCCCCTCCCTCTTTTTTAGGAAGCCCGAAAGGAAGGAAAGAGCCCCCTCCCCGGGAGAGAGAGACCCAGGATGGAGGGTTCAGGAAGAAGCCAAGTTGGCAGCCATGCCGCTCTCGCCAGACATTGGAGGGATCCGAGGGGGCGAGAGAGAGGGAATGTGTAGTGTGTGTATGTGTGTGTGTGTGTGAGAGAGAGAGAGAGAGAGAGAGAGAAAGAGAGAGAGAGAGAGAGGCGGCGAGGGACTGTAGCTTCTTGAGCAAAGTCCTTGTGTCCTGGCAGGGCGGCTGAGAGAGAGATCTCCGACTATACACACGATGCAGCCTATAGGAAGCTTATGTATCCCAGGCTCGAAACGTATCTCCCCCTCCCCTCCCAGAAATGCCTCTCTCTTTCTGCCACCAACACGCGATCGATTTAGTCCAGTCAATTATTATTATTACTATTAAATAATTATTAAATGATCCACTTCCCAACTTTCTTTGCACCTTTTTTCCTTTCCCAACCTGAACAAAATACATCCAATAAATTATTATTATTATTATTATTATTATTATTATTATTATTATTATTATTATTATTATCTGTTCCGACAGGCTTTTAATGTTTGATACTATTGTTTTTAAATTGTTTTAAATTGCTTTTAAACTTTGTTAGATTTTAGCTATTCTTGTAAGCCGCTCTGAGCCCCAGGGGAGTGGCGGCATATAAGTTTAAATAATAAATAAATAAATAAATAAAAATATTATTAATTAAATAATCCCCTTCCCAACTTTTTTTGCACATTTTTTTCTTTTCCCAACCTGAACAAAATACATCCAATTATTAAGTAATTATTAAATAACCCCTTCCCAATTTTCTTTGCACTTTTTTCTTTTCCCAACCTGAACAAAATACATCAAATTATTAAATAATTATTAAATAATCCCCTTTCCAACTTTCTTTGCACCTTTTTTTCTTTTTCTTTCCCAACCTGAACAAAATACATCCTACTATTATTATCATTATTTATTAAATACTCTCCTTCCCTACTTTCTTTGCATCTTTTTTCATCTCCTAGCTGCGCAATATACATCCAATTATTATTATTATTATTATTAGGATGTTGTTCAGGTAATTATTATTATTATTATTATTATTAAATTATTATTAAATAATCCCCTTTCCAACTTTTTATTATTATTATTATTATTATTATTATTATTATTATTATTACCTGAACAACATCCTAGTAATAATAATAATAATAATAATAATAATAATAATAATAATAATAATAATAATAATAATAATAATTTGGAAAGGCGGGGTGAGGAAAGGGACATTCTATCCCGATGATGGGCTGGTGGATATTATAGATGAGCCCTCTCGGAGTTTTCCCAACCAGAGCCGCGCTGCTCTTTCCTCCGGGCCACGTCGAAGGCTTCCAAAAGCAGCCTTGGGCGCCTTATTTATGAGTCAGAAACGCCTTTGAATCGGGGGGGGGGGGGGGAATGCGGGGAAAGAAACAAGAGGGAGAAAGGCCCGTGAGGTCACCACTCCTTCGGCGGAGACCGGGGCCTTGCCTTGCCTAATATCTCGCTCAGGCTCATTGCGGCCGCGGCGGGGATGTCCAGTGGAAAGGGAAAAGAGCACCCAGGCGGCGAAGGAAGGAGGCGGCGGGGCCTCCTCCTCTTCCTCTTCCTCTTCCTCTTCCTCTTCCTCCTCCTCCTCCTCCTCCTCCTCCTTTTCGGCCCCGATTCGGCAGCCCATTTAGGGTGAAAGGAGATGCGGGAGGAGCCCCTGGTCAAGCTACTGCTAAAAGATCTCTATTTACTTCCCCTAGAACCCCAGAAACGAAACAAGAAGGGGGATCCGCCCGAGCCTTCTTTGCTTTCAGATACCAGATTTATGCTGGAAGGGGGGAGGGGACCCGCGAAAACGCGAAGTGGAGACAAAGAGGTGCGAGAGAGAGAGTCTGTGCGTGGAGTGAGTGAAACTCAGCCACCTTTTCCAGAACTTGGCCCCACATTTCAGAAAGCGATTCTTTGCATCTCGAATAAGTAATAATAGAGAGGAGGGGTGTTAACTGAGGAACGGGGAAGTTAATCTGGTGATGTTGCTTTACTGATTCTTTTGGAGCCGCGATGAAATCGCCCCTAGTCACTGTAAAGCAGAGTCTCGCAGGCCCCGTCTTTCCCGGCCGCCCTTTCCGTGCTCAAACGGAGCAAAGAAACACGCAAACAAACGCACGCGCGCGGGCCGGAGAGCCCTGTGGCTGCTCCTGCCCGAGAGTCACGCACGACCTAGCTCTAAAGTGGGCCGCCTCGATGGCCGGTGGCTTTGTCGCCATCTGAGCGTCTGAGGCTCCTTAGCTTTGAATGGGAGGGAGCCCTTCCCGGAGTGGGCAAGGCAAGCAAGCAAGTGCGTGGAAGGGAGAAAGTGGAGGCCCGTCGGAAGGTTCGCCTCTTCAAGGGCCAGGCGGCGCCTCGGTCGGAGAGGAGAGCTTTGCCAAGAGGGGCTCTTCCATCGAGACCTCGGGATATTTTCTCCCACCCAGCCCCCAAACAAAACCCACAAGCAAACCCGATGCCTGCATTCTCTGGCATGGCCTTGCACTCCTCCTCTGCCCTCCCAGCGCAGCTCTGGCTTGGAAGGAAAGGCCGCTGCAATTAAGCCGAATTAAGCAGGAGATCCGGGAGGATAGATCCGAAGAGACCTTGTATGGGCGTCTGTGTGTGGATCACTTCAGTGGATTCCTGGGAAAGTGGGAAGAAACCATTATTTGCTCTGGAGACGTTCGTTTGGGTCTGAATGCGTCTTCGTTTTCGAGTCCACTTGGTGAAGAGAGAGAGAGGCCCCTATAAACCCCATTTCCTAGTTTCCAACAGACCTCACAACCTCTGAGGATGCTTGCCATAAATGCAGGCGAAACATTAGGAGAGAATGCTTCTGGAATACAGCCATACAACTCCGAAAAATCACAACCCAGACTTCACAACCTCTGAGGAAGCCTGCCACAGATGCAGGCGAAACGTGAGGAGAGAATGTTTCTAGAATATGGCCATAGGGCCCGAAAAATCTACAACAACCCAGACTTCACAACCTCTGAGGATGCCTGCAGATGCAGGCGAAACGTCAGGAGAAAATGCTTCTGGAACACAGCCATATAGCCCAGAAAACTCACAACCTCACAACCTCTGAAGATGCCCGCCATAGATGCAGGTGAAACGTCAAGAGAGAATGCTTCTGGAACACGGCCATACAGCCCGGAAAACTCACAACCCAGTCTTCACAATCTCTGATAATACCTGCCACAGATGCAGGACAAACGTCAGGATAGAATGCTTCTGGAACACGGCCGGCCATACAGCCCGGAAAACTTACAAGCAGACTTCACAATCTCTGATAATGCCTGCCACAGATGCAGGAGAAACGTCAGGATAGAATGCTTCTGGAACACGGCCATGCAGCCCGGAAAACTCACAACAGCCCACCCCTTGAAAACTTCGAGAGCCAAAGGCCTTTGGGAACGATTTTCTCTTCTTTTTAGATCCAAACGCTGCCCTTCGAAAGGAAATCCTGGCCTCAGTGCATCATCCCTCGAAAATACGAATTCAGAGAACTCAACCAAATACGAATAAAATCATTTAATTGCCTAGGAAATGAGATGTCAATTTCCCCCGACTCGGAGGTTGTTAGAAGTTCGTTTCCTAGCTGTTCTGTTATGGCTGGATTTTGACATTAGAGGGTTTTTTTTTTATGTCGAAGATAAAAGAATAAAGGCGAAGCGAAACGGGACGGAAGATCGAAGAATTGAACGCCAAAATACTGAGTGGGAAGAACTGCCGCAAGATCCCTCTCGCAATGGCGAATTTAACTCTCCAATATCGCCACGCTATTAAACACTTTGGTTGGAATAAAACGGATTTCGGCTCTTTAATGTCGAAAAGAGAAGCTATATAGAGATATTTCCAGGGAAAAACATCAGAGCGACAGACTGAAACCTATTCCCCCCTTCCATTTTCTGCGCCACAGATCCACACATTCATCAGTGTCATTTTGAAGATTCTTAGGTGCTCCCCAATATATTAAAGACTTCAAAAAATTCCCAAGAGAAAATAAAATAGTTTATCATTTGCATGACTGTCCAGAATAGTTCCTAGCGGCAGCTAATACTTAATAATGAGATTTCTGGGTTGTTGTGAGTTTTCCGGACTGTACGGCGATGTCCCAGAAGCATTCTCTCCTGACGTTTCGCCTGCATCTATGGCAGGCACCCTCAGAGGTTGTGAGGTCTGTTGGAAACTAGGGAAATTGGGTTGATATATGTGTGTGTGTGTGTATATATATATAGTGTTGATATATATCTCTATATATGGGATGTCCAAGGTGGGAGAAAGAACTTGTCTATTTGAGGTAGGTGTGAATGTGTCAACTGGCTACCTTGATTAGCATTTAATGGCCTAGCAGTTTCAAGGTCTGACCTCTTATTGCCTGGGGGAATCCTTTGTTGTGCTCTGATTATTTCTTATCTGGAACTCCCCTGTTTTTTTAGTATTATCTTTTATGTACTGTTATGATTTTAGGGGTTTTTTTTAAAAAAAATACTGGTATCCAGATTTTGTTCATTTTCATGGTTTCTTCCTTTCTGTTGAAATTGTCCACATGCTTGTGGATTTCAATGGCTTCTCTGTGTAGTCTGACATGATAGTT